CAGGTGGTCCCCCTGCTGGCTGAAAATAAAATAAAAATAAGTTAATGGTGTAAAAAATAATAATTATATATACTTAGATCATATATATATATTATATATATATGATCTAAGTATATATATACACATATACATACACACACGTACACCGTCTAGGTGTATTTTACTATTAATATATATATAATTATATATATATATTAATATCAAATTACACTTAGACTGATACTGATTAAATATATATATAATTATTGTTATATATTTATATATTTATATATAATATAAAAAAAAGTAAATACGTTAAAAAATAAAATTAAAAAAATAATTAAAAATAAATAATTAAAAAATATATAGATGTGTGTTATTTCGTTCTAACTGTATTGTGAAATTAATATATATATATATATATATATATATCAAAATACATGTAGAACGAAATAATATATATATCTATATACCTAAATATATACGTATATATCACTATATATATACCTATATATAAATAAAAATATTTTAAAAAAATTATATAGATATATACATATATATACACACATACGTATATATATACATATATTAATTCTACATATATATTTATGTAATATTTTTACATAATTAGGTATCTTAATTAATTACAATTAGCGGGACCTGCCTGACAACCCATGCCAAAAGTAAAGGGAATTTAATTTGCTAGCACTATATTTAACCCTATAATTTTCCAAGACACCATAAAACCTGTACATGGGGGGTACTGTTCTACTCGGGAGACTTCGCTGAACACAAATATTAGTGTTTCAAAACAGTAAAATGCATTACAACGATGATATCGCCAGTAAAAGTGAAGTTTTTTGCATTTTTCACGCACAAACAGCATTACACGGACAATATTATTGCTGTGATACTTTTACTGTTTTGAAACACAAATATTTGTGTTCAGCGAAGTCTCCCGAGTACAACAGTACCCCTCATGTACAGGTTTTATGGTGTTTTCAAAAGTTACAGCGTCAAATATAGGGCTTGTGTTTCATTTTTTTCACATTAAAATTCGCCAGATTGGTTACGTTGCCTTCGTGACCCTATGGTAGCCCAAGAATGAAAATTACCCCTATGACGGCATACCATTTGCAATAGTAGACAACCCAAGGTATTGCAAACAGGTTATGTCCAGTCTTTTTTAGTAGCCACTTAGTCACAAACACTGGCCAAAATTGGCATTTTTTTGCATTTTTCACACAAACAGATACTAACGCTAACTTTGGCCAGTGTTTGTGACCAAATGGCTACTAAAAAAGACTGGACATACCCCATTTGCAATACCTTGGGTTGTCTACTATTGCAAATGGTATGACATTATGGGTGTAAATTTCATTCCCGGGCTACTATACAGTCTCAAAGGCAACGTAACCAATCTGGCAAATTTCAATTTCAAATGTAACGTGCTATATTTGACCCTGTAACTTCCCAAAACGCCATAAAACCTGTACATAGGGGGTACTGTCTTACACGTGAGACTTTACTGAATATAAATATGTGTATTTTATTGCAGTAAAAGCAAACAGTATTATGACATTGACCGTTAAAATGTCATGTAGAACTAAAAAAATCCAAAAAAAACGTATTTTCTCCCATTTTTTTCATATTAAATTATGTTTCATAGCTAAATATTTGATATTAAATGAAAGCCCTGTTTCCCCTGAATAAAATGATATATAATAAGGGTGGGTGCATTTACTATGAAAGAGGTGTATTACGGTTGGACAGACATGTAGCGCAAATGCCAGGTTTTGTTTACATTTTGTTTTGTTCACAATGTGTACATTTGGCTCCGTCCTTAAGGGGTTAACAAGGGACAAATAGTGATGACTAGATAACTGGTGAGACCTTCTCCAAAACAGCAAGCCTTGTGGGGTGTTCCTCATATGCAGTGATTAGTACCAGTGATCCGGCAAAGGGGTTATGTAGGGAGTGAAGGCTAGTCCATCTGGTCTGATCACACATATGCTAATGTAGCTTCAAATTGCTGAAACATTTATTACTGGCCATAATAGAAAGGTGTCTGAACACCCAGTGCATTGAAGTTTGTTGATGACCCCTGTCCACTGAAAGAGTCTTCAATGTGGATGTGAGCATCAGAGCTGGGCTGTGGAGTAATAGAAGTAGGTTGCCTGGTCTGATGACTCATGTTTTATTTTAAATCAGGTGGATGGCCTGGTGCATGCATGTCATTTACCAAGGGAAGAGATGGCAGCATAATGTCATGAAGGGGCTGGGTGGAGGAAAAAAGACACATGGAAGGGCTGAGGGGAAAGGATACACATGTATGGACTGTGGGATAGGAAGGGGCTGGGTGGGAGGATAGGAGACACATAGAGGGGGAAAGGAGGGGCTGTGGGAAAGCAAAAGAGTGGCACATGTAGGGGCTGAGAGAAGGAGACACATGTAGGGGGTGGGATAAGGAGACACATTAAGGGGCTGGGGAGGAAATGAGACACATGGAGGGGCTTGGGGGAATACCACATATGTAGAGACTAGGAGAAGGAGGCAAATGGAGGGGCTGGGGGGGATGAGACGTATGTAAAGGCTGGGAGAAGGAGGCACATGGAGGGGCAGGGGGAGGAAATAATAAACATGGAGGGGCTGGGGGAGGAAAGGATACACAGAGGGTTTGGAGGAAAGAATATGAGAAACATGGACTGGCTGGGTAGGAAGAAAGACACATGGAAAGGCAGGGGGGAAAGGAGCCAGGGTCGTGTAATTTTTTATTATGCTGCTGGCAGTGACCTCTTTACACAGGATAACGCACCCTGCTATACTGAAATAATCGAGTAACATGACAATTAGTTTAAGGTGTTGCCTTGGCCTCCATATTTACCAGATCTTACCAGACCGATTGAGCATTTATGGGATGTGATGAAACATCAAACCCAATCAATGGAGGCCGCACCTTACAACTTGAAGGACTTAAAGGATATCCTGCTAAAGTCTTGGTTCCAGATAACACAGGACACATTCAGTGGTCTTGTGGAGCCAATACCAAGTAACATCATAGCTGTTTTAGCAGCATTAGGGCAACCTACGTAATATTAGGCTGATCAATGCCTTTGTGTAACATACCATGATAATGCTATATAAAAATGGAAATAATTATCTTATTACTGAATGAATAAAATATAGATGTTATCTACTAAACACCACTCTCAAACAACTGGTAAAAAGAGTCACAGAACACAGGATGTGTTCAAAAGACTTTTGTAGTCTATTCTTGAAGCATCAGAGCTGTTTTGGCAGCATAAGGTGAAACATGATATTAGACAGGTATTTTTAATGCTGAGACTGATCAGTGTTTTTTATATATATATATATATATATATATATATATATATATATATATATACGTAAAAGGCCATAGGCCTGAATTTGTGGGAGGAGTTTTCCATACAGAAGCTCTACCCCCCCGCTTACCTATGCTGGTTCCCGTTAGAGTGACGTTGCCACGACAACCAGCACTTCCGGTTTTTCGGCCTTCCATTTGCTCCAGCAGAAACTCTTCACTGCTTTGGAATATGGTCAGATACACAACTGGTTGAATTTACTGATCGAGGCAGGATCCCTTACTCCACGTTGTATCATTAGCTCCACTGAACTGGTGTCGGCACTAGGTGCCCCATTGTCCCCTGTCATACAACAGGCCCACAACACATGTGGTATTCCCGGTTATCTCACTCGATTCATTGCCCAGTCAGGCACGCCTCCCCGTTGAAGTTGGTACGCATCAGACAAGAACTGGACCAGTTCCTCCAAAGGTACTGGTACTCGAAGGGACCCCCAATCTCTACTGGGATACCTCAGTTTTGTGATGCATATCATTCCACAAGAGA